AAAAAAAAAAAAAAAAGGACTTAGAGATCCAAATCTCCCAGAAATTCATTGTTTATTTGGTTCCAGAGGCAGATCCCTAGAACCATATTTATTCAGTTGACTTGAACATTTCCAACGAATATCTGGAAAGACACTGTCTGGGATTATCCTTCTTAATTTTCCTTTTAGTTCCAGCAGTGTTCCAAACTGGAAGGAGTGAGCAGGGCTACAGCCAGAAACCAGGCTCTGTTCCCCTGTGACTTTCTGATATAAAATGTTAACACCCGAGCGAGGACGGTTTTTCCTTGCTTTTCTATTGCTGTGTTTAATCGTTCTCAGTGGTTCTTCCAGAATGGGCACAGCAATCGCTTTCTGATTTCAGCTGTACTCGAGGTCCTCGCTGAGGAGTACATCTGTGAGCTCTGCTGCTCCATCCTCACCCTGCCCACTTCCTGCATTCTCCAGCCATGCACTGCCTTTCTTGTTATTTGACTGAAGAGCCAATTCAGGTATGCAGATGCCTTTGTAGACTATGGGTGACAGGATAGCTTTAAATAAACTTGGCTCAAATCAGGAGTGGCATGCATGAGATCCAGCTTGCTACCAGCTCCATGATGATGGTCTCATGCTTTGTCCTGCATTCCCTTAGCTGCCTGTCACCAAGTCTTCCAGCCATTTCCTGGAAAGCAACCAGTTGATTGTTCCTATTGTGCTACGGCCACAAACCAGTAACAATGAAAACATGTCTTGTATCACCCTGCTGAGCTTTATCTCGACACACTGCAGCCCCTGATGAAGAAAGCTCCATCATGCCTGCTTCACTGCACGTGGGCTGTAAATACCTGAAGATGTGTTTTGTATGAGTGAGGTGTCACAGAGGCTCTGACATGCCTTCTATTGCTTCTGGCAGTCTCTTGCCAATTCTCCATAACTCACTTTGGCATCTGATACCAGCTTCCAACATCTGACAGCTGAAAATAGGAAAGGGCATTTGCAGGGCTGTGATATGATGTGTGCTTGGCTTTAAAAAGGATCCAAAACTCAAAGCAAGGGAGAGCAAAAAGGCATACCGATATCACCATGGATATGTGACATTAAACAAACCACTTGTCATGATACACAGCTGACAACTTGCCAAATGGAGCAGGATCCTCTTATTATTCATTGTTTTGCCCTGTAAAACCTACACAACTATGAGAAAGAAAAACCTCCAGAAAGGTAGTGTCACTCTTCTGACCTCCCTGGGCCAGACTGGAGGTCCTGCTGAACAGCTTCTCCCAAAAGTGTACCTACTCAACATGCATCAGAAGAGCAAAACACAACTTTGTGATGACATCCTAAGTAATCCCTGCAGGAAAGAGATCTGCAGGGTGAGGTCACTTCCTCAAGGTAACTTTGGAACTCAAGGCACTCCCTTTCCTCCCAGGGCTTTAATTCCATCCTTGCCATGCATCTCAGCTGGGGTTTGAGTGGAATATTCTTCTGGCGCCTTGTATGTGTGAGGACTGCAACAGCCATGCAGGGATTTACTCTTCACAGAATCGTGGAACTGTAGAATTATAGAATATCCTGAATTGGAAGGCACCCATAAGAATAATCGAGTGGAATTCCTTCCTCTGTCTCCATCACAGAAAAGAGAGGTGGAGCTGCTGCTCTTCCTTAATTTGCTGTGGCCAGGTGAGGGCCTCATCCACACAAAAGGTGGTAGGAGGGCTGCCATATGGCCCGAACTTCCTAGTGACCCCTGTGGCCTTTGCTGACATCCCCTCCCCAGAAGTACTTGTGCACCTCTTAGACTGCTGTGTCCTTGTATAGTACATGGAGGAGCAGAAGCTCCAGCTCAGCCTCCACGATGGCTGCTTTGACCTCAAAAGAGGAGCGAATGATCCCTCCTGTGTGGGGAAGGGTGTTCATGTGGGCACCCAAGAAGGAAAAGCAGAGAGGAGAAAGTCGGGTGAAAGCTGAAATCAAGTCAACGTCCAGCTCTCCCCTGCAGCAGGCCACCCACATCCCACAGCATCTGTGTGCTCCTCCAGCACAACAGCCCTCCAGAGCAGGGTGGGTTTGGAGCAGAGGTGCCCCGTGCAGGACTGCTGCTCTAGAGGCAGTTGGGGCACACTTGTCCCTCTAGGGTGGCACGGGGCAACCTGTGACAGGAGGGGCAGAGGACATGCTAGCCAGGACGGTCATATTCACAAAGCATTCACCCGCATTATCTACGTTCTTTTTTCCTTCTCCATTCTAAGAACATGGATCGTAAGCAAGAAAATGGGCATCACCAGATGGGCACCCGCCCCGCACACCCAAGGTGGCTGCTACACTGTGGGGCTACGCGGGTACGGAGGGAAGCCGGGAGGGAGAGATGCGGCACCGCGGCTATAAAAAAAGGTGGATCTCGGATCTCGCCGCCGGGAGAGGCGCCGGCCCGTGGGAGCGCCCACGCGCGTCCGCGTCCGGGGTCGGACACCTGCACGGCGGAGGCCCGGGAGGGTCGCGGAGCGGGGCCTCTTTGAGAGCGGGCGGCGCTGCCTTAGCGGTCGGGCCCACGCGTGTCCGCGGCCGTGCGGTGCCGGTGGGCAGCGCCCTCCTCTGTGGCACTGCCGGGGCTGCGCTCCCCGCCGCGGAGCCCCGCTTTGTTCCCGGGGGAGCCCACAAACACACGTGTCGGCCGGGCAGGGGGAGTGGGGCCTCTGGATGCTGTCCTGCGTGGCTCTGCGCGTGTATGTGTCCCTGCGTGTGCGTGTATGTGTGCGCGCTGGGTGTTGGTTGGTTTTCGTTGGTTTTTGTTTTTTTTTTTTTTTTTCCCTCGCTTGCTCCAGGTTTTACTTCTGGTTGCCTGTAAGGGTTTTGCTCCTCCCTTCTGAAATCCTATATTAGCTGTGGCCAAAGCTGGGTAAGAAACACAGCTCATTGTTGGCAAGTGCCGATGAGCCTCGCAGAGGAGTGAGGAGCGGCGCTGGGGCTGCGGCAGAGGCAGAGCCCCGCCGTCACGTCAGCCCGGGAGAGGAGGGCAGCGCGCTCTATGCGGGGTGACTGCTGCTGACTGATTTCACCGCCACCTTTGAAGGGAAAGAAGAAAGCAGCCGGGAGGTGAGTGCGGAGGTTGGGCAGCTGCTGCGCTGCGTCCCTTTTGTGTACGGCAGCAAAAATGCGACCGCTTAAACACGCGAGAAAAGGTGCTCCTCGACTGCGCGGCTTAATCTCCTTATCTGTGCCTCGCGGTGTCTGAATTTATTTCTTTTTAATTGGGACTTAATTCCAAAAGTTGCTGACAGCGGCGGGGTGGGACTTCCCGGTTCTTTGCTCGCTCTCCGCAAGTTGGTGGAGCGCCTTAGAACCAACGCCGCTTGTGACACACGGGGGGCTCGGGAGGCGCGGGGCCGCCGTCCGGGAGGAGGCGGCTGTGCCGGGTGCCGCACTCCGCCGATGGTGCGCACAAGTTGGAGCGGGCGGGCGCGCCGCGCCGCGCACCGGCTGAGCGGAGGGGAGAGGGGCGTTCGCAGGGCGGGCGCCGCTCGCGGTTCTCCCTTTGTACTCCACGGTAGAGACGCGGTAGGGAGATTCCCCCTGGAAGGAGGACGGCGAGCGGCGCGGTGGCTTTCCTCGGGCCGGTGGTCGAGGGGCGTTCTCTTTAACACGCTCGCTTTCCAGGTGGGAGATGGCGGAACACATGATGGCCATGAACCACGGGCGATTCCCCGACGGCGCCGGCGGGCTCCACCACCACCCCGCGCACCGGCTGGGCATGGGGCAGTTCGCCGCCCCCCATCACCACCAGCAGCAGCAACAGCAGCCGCACGCCTTCAGCGCCCTGATGGGAGACCATATACATTACGGAGCGGGCAATATGAACGCGAGCGGCGGGGTCCGGCACGCCATGGGGCCGGGCGGCGTGGGCGGGGGGCACCCGGCCGGCAACATGCCGCCCCCCGCCCGCTTCAGCGGCTCCCAGTTCATGGCCCCCCCCGTGGGCAGCCCGGGAGGGCAGCTGAGCGCCAGCATGCAGCTGCAGAAGCTCAACAACCAGTACTTCAGCCACCACCCGTACCCGCACGGCCACTACGTGCCGGACTTGCACCCCGGCGGCCACCCGCTGAGCGGCGGCGGACAGCATTTCAGGGACTGCAACCCCAAGCACGGCGGCGGAGGCAGCGGCTTGCCGCCCGCCGTGCCCCACGTCCCCGCGGCGATGCTGCCGCCCAATGTCATAGACACTGACTTCATCGACGAGGAGGTCCTCATGTCCTTAGTCATCGAAATGGGGCTGGATCGCATCAAGGAGCTGCCCGAGCTGTGGTTGGGACAGAACGAGTTTGACTTCATGACGGACTTCGTTTGCAAACAGCAGCCCAGCAGGGTGAGCTGCTGATTCATTTCCAACAAACAAAGGACTTTCTAGCGGTGCGAGTGAAAACATTCCCCCCGACGCGGTGTCTCACTTTTCGCTGCCCGAAAAGGTGAGAATCTGGAAAGCAGAGTAAACTATGCGCTTGCGTAAACTCTTTT